CGCGCAGACCAGAGCCGTCCCGAGAGTGTGCGGGAGGTGTCAGAATCCACGGGACCCTCAACTTCGAGACTTGAAAAGAGTGTCGGGCTCGGAGTTTTCTTGAGCGCTTGAAAAAAAAAAAAAAAGTCTAAATGCTGCAAAAGTTTTGTTGTTTCGATTTTGTTGTAATTGCACGTTCCTAGAAGTCCTTGAAGCAGAGCCAAAGACGCTTTAACTTAGGGGGAGAAGGGGAGACTTCTTTCTATCATCTTAAAGAAATATTTAATTTTCTCTAGAAAAAAACGCGTTTAACACTCAGACATTTCTCAATTGTAAAATATTTATTTAAACAGTCTAGCGCTTTCATGGTGTCCAAAACACTACGGCATTTATCTGTCCCTGTCCAAATTGTCCATATCTCTGCCAGTTTCTTCCTTGAAACAATTCTTACTTACTCCCCAGAAGAATCTTTAAGGACCATTTTTATTCTTTCCAGTGTGAGCGCCAGAACTACAGTGAGAGCCTTTTTAAAAAAAAAACACTCAAGTACAAGCTTCTCTAGAGTTATGGGACAGTCCCCATTCTTTTTCTCTCATTTAAAAAATACTTGAAATCTTGGGATATAGCACCATTTCAAAACCTTCACCACTCTGAAAGCCAAAAGTATTATTACTTACAAACCAGAATTTAAATGTTTTCACTATTCACATTATTAAGAGATGTAAAAGTAAGGATTTAAAAAATGGAAAGACTGTAGTTTTTATTTACTGGTATGTAGTAAGAAATCACAGAACTTTAATATTTTGCAATATTCCTCAGGAATTATTTCCATTCTCAATTTGTGAAATGAGTTAGAGAAATTGTATCATATTATAACATGAATTTCATTTGTCTTTGAAAATATATAAAGCACAGAGGCAATAATTGCCTTTGAAATAGTAGAAATGTATTTTATACAAAAATATTTTTAAAAATTTAATGAAATGTATATGCATGTTTTTGATAGAAATATAATGCTTTATAAACAATATGATAGGTATGAATAGGTCAAGTCTAAGAAACAGTGGGTGGCAGGGAAAGTATGTATAACAGTACATCCTCGCACCAACATTGAACTGCTTTAACCTGGATCTCTTGAGGAAGCATCAGACAAACCCAAACAGAGGAAAATTCCATAAAATAACTGACCTGTGTTCTTAAACACTGTCAGTGTCAAAAAAGACAAAATAAAACTGCAGATCAAAGGAAATTAAATGCAATATGTGACACTGAACTGGATACTTTACTGGAGGAGAAAAATGCTATAAAAGACATTACCAACATAACTGATGCAGTTGGAATATGGACTATAGGTAAAAGTATTCTATGTCAAACTTCCTGAATATGTTATGTACAAGAATATCCTTATAAGAAAACACACTGAAATATTAAAGGGCAAACGGCATTATGTATGCAATCTTCTCCCAAATGGTTCAGAAAAAATAAATTATTTACACACACAGGCATACATACATATCTTTCCTTCTCCCATATACATATACAGAAAGAGGGAGATTGACAACCTAAAAATTGGTAAAACTAGGTTATGCTTGTTATTGAAGAATCAATATTATTTCTGTTGAGGTTGGAATATAATGAAAAAGAGGTTATCATAAAATAAAGGGTTTAAAATGAGCCATAAGGAAGGACTTCCAAAAAATGAGGTTTCCAAAATACAAGAATAGATTGGTTCCTAGAAAAATGATTCACAAGACAGAAGACATTTGCTTTTTTGGAGCCTATAATAAAATTATAGCTCATTTTTCAAAGATGATTTAACTGTTTTCATGCTTTAAGGTAGTGGTATGCATTTTTTTATTTTGCTCAAAAAACATTAAATTTACTATCTTAACCATTTTTAAGTATAGCGTTCAGTAGTATTAAGTATATTCAAATTATTGTGCAATAGCTCTCTAGAACTTTCTCATCTTGCAACACTGAAACTCTATACCCATTAAACACTAAATCTCTCTAATTTTCCCCCCAGCCCTTGGCAACCACAGAGTATTTTTGAATTCTAAAAAATGTTTAAATATTTAAAAACTTGGTGAATATGGAAATTTCTGTACTATTTTTGCAATTTTTCATTCTTCGAAGTTATTGCAAAATTAAGTTTTAAAAATCAAGGAGCTTTAAATTGCAGAGTCCTCCTGTTGACTAATAGGAGGAATGCAGTGAGGCAGACAGGTATGGAGAGAGAGAAAGAGGGAGGAAGAATGAGAGGAAGGAAGGAAGGGAGGGAGGATGGGAGAAGAGAGAAGAGATCCTTTTATAATGAAACTAGCCAAGTAACAGATAGGAGTTTTGGTCATTCAGCTTTTACTTCTTCCCTATATAATATACTTGCATTTGGAACAAAAATAGTTAGGAACCCTTCTATATTTGATAAGTGTGATTTCCATATTTAATGATCCAATACATATTCAATGTGTATTATCTACAAGGCTATGGTGAGAAAATAAGAGGGAATAAAAGTAGTCTGTTTTTTAGGTGCTCTCTGTAGTGATTACAGAGATGAGATATAATCCCTGTACTATACTGAAAAGCCTTTTAGTCTAGTACTGTCTGAGACAGTGGCCACTAGCTTCCCATAGCTATTTACATTTAAATTTATTAAATAAAATGAATAATTTAGGCCCTCAAATTGCACCAGCCACATATCAAGTGCTCATTAGCCATCTTTGCAGAAAGTTCTACTAAGCAGCACTGGTAGTAGAGGAGATTACACTGTATAAATAACAACAATACAAGGTAGATGGTGAAAAACACCATAGAAGCTTAGGGAAAGGAGAGGTTACTTTGCAGGGTGTGGAAGTAGGGGAAACGTCATGGATAGTTTCAAGAAAATTGCCTATGGACAGGAGGAGGTGGAGCAAGAGCATTCCAGGTATAGGAAAAATGAACAAGGCAGGAAAGGGAGAGTCATATTTGAGGGATATTTGAGGGATAACACTTAATTCTATGTGTCTACAACACAAGGTATGTAAAGGATAATATGGCTGTATAGACTTCAGGTTTGAAAGATTCAGAAGCTTAATAATATCAAGGACCAGGTTCTTTTCCTCTCTGTTCTGATGTCATTCTCCAGCTAATAGCAAGATGGTAATGGCAGTTCTGAGTATCATATCTTGATGTCATAGTGTCCAGAGGGAGAAGAGAGAACTTAAGAGAGAGAAAACATTTTCCAGAACCACTTTCCCCACCCCTCCGCTGACTTTCCTCTCATTTCCTAGGCCATAGTTAAATTATATGCCCATTTATGAAGCAGTCCCTGATTTATATGATGGAACAAGAGTTGAGGAGTCAGAGACAGAGAGGTGAGAGTCAAAGATGACTTTAGGGTTTAAGCCTAACAGACCAGGGTACATAGGAAGAGGAGAAGTTATGGAAGGCAAGATGATGACTTCTATGATAGTCCTTTTAATTTGAGAGCCAAAGAGATATCTAGGTGGACATGATCAGCATGTGAAAACAGGAATGAAATTTGGAATGAAAAACCAAAGTTGGGGATATACATTGGATGTCATTTGCAGAGAGAAAATA